CAATGATTTTATGTATTTTCTATTTAGAGACTAGCACAGCTATTCCTCTAACATGGCTGGCTAGAAGTTGTTTTATTGTATTTTGTACTTATTGGTAGCTTAGATAACTTTCTTTGTGCAAATCCACGGTATCCTGAGCAGTTCTTTAAGGAGGGCTGCTTCTTCCCTGGGGTGGTTTCAGGAGAATTTCAGCCCTTGACCTAACTTCTAGCTGCTCCATCCTTCTCTCTCACCTTTGGGGAAAACGGGACCAGGTGGTCAACTTGTCCTCAGACACCTGCTTTGGAGGTCATGTTAGGGTCTGGATGCTGGTTGAGTCTATGTAGAGCAGGCGGTACAGGGACGGGGTGGCCCGAAGCTCTATCTGCAGGAGTGGAGAGTCATTCTACAGCAGTTTAGGGAAATCCTCTAGGCTGGAGTAGCAGAAGCTAAAGGGGTAGGGTGGGGCTGCTCCCTGTCTATCTTGGAGGGAGCTTCCAAGGTGAATCTGACTTATTCTTGGTTTAAATCAGAAGTCCTCAAATATTTTGGTTTTAGGAAGTCTTTATAACCTTAGAAATTATAGAAGACCTCGAATACCTTTTGTTCATTTATTATTAAAGTAACACAAACTGTGAAAAATTTAAAATTAACTATTTTAAATTCATTTAAATATTAAACCTTTATGTGTTAGAATACATAACATAGTTTCTTATTTATTTAATTGTTTATTTACTTATTTTTTAAATTTAAATTGAATTTATTGGTACATTCTAGGTAGACAGTACAGTACATTTACAGTACAGTTACATTCATTACTGGGATCTTGTACCTTTACATGTCAAGTCTTGGTTCTCATTTTGTCCCCCTTGTCCCCACCGTGCCTTCACCGGTCATCTCTCACTACATAGTTCAAGCTGGCCTTGAACTCAATATGTAGCCCAGGCTGGCCTTGAACTCTCAGCAATCCTCCTGCCTCAGACTCCAGAGTGTTGGGATTACAGGCGTGCGCCACCACACCTGGCCCAATAACATAGTTTAATGACAAGTAACTATATTATCCAAATAAAAGTTTAGTGAGAAGGGCATTATTTTACATTTCTGCAAATCTCTTTACTGTCTAACTTAATAGAAAATATCTGGATCCTATCTTTTGCACTTTATCTTTTACAAAAGTGGTATGTGGTTTTGGTTGGAATATATGAACAAAATGCGGATGGAAGAACTTTAATATGCTTCTCAAATAACTGTGGCTATTTTCTTTAAGGCCCATAAAAGCTTGACAAGGGGCAAGGACAGTCACAGTGTTGAATCTGAAATGGTACCAATGACCTTTTTCATAGTGTGTTATATTAAAATGCCATGGTCTGAGTTACACTTTGAAACAAATCTTTTTCCATTGTTTTGTGCTGTCATGCATTAGTCATTGGGAAACTATTAGTTTACCAAGTCCTACAGGTCTTACAAATGCTGGTGTGTTTCATTATCCAACATGAAAATTGCATTTGCCAATATCCTTGCCACAGTATGACCAGATTCGCGTCTGTGAATGGGAAGCTTACCAGCAGCAGATGTGAATTTCCCCAAAGTCCTTGCTTTTATTTGAAAGCCTGAGGTTTATCACTGACAACACATTCTGCCAGTTATTTTCCTAGAAGTGGAAGGCTAACTTGTTCATTTTTTAAAGAAAGTTTCTGCCAACTATCCAAGTCTGAGTAACCATAGTTCTTCTGTGAGTGGTTCTTCCAAGTGAAAATTATTTTCAGGAAAAAAGTGGTTAATTCAGCACAGCTCAATCGTGTAGTGCTTTTCTGGAGGTGACTGTACACACTCTCATATGTAGCAGAATTACTTCATGTGTCTGTGTATTTCCCATTTCATGCTACAAAATGTTTAAAAGATGTGCACTGAAGGTCAATATTTACTAAAATTGATAATTATCAATGACTCCACAAGAACAATTTGCAGTGAAATTGACATTTTTTTTCTGTATGTATATGGTAGCAAATAGTAACAGTGACTATCAAAAGGAAATATAATTGTTTGGGGCAGCTTCTTTGATTCATGATTAGGCACCAATCATGTTTTACTCACCAATGCTTTTGCACTATTAATTCAAGTAACAACCAGTGAAAAAAAGGGCAATTGATTTCTTAATTTTTTTTAATGAAAATAACCCCTACCTCATAGATCCTTAAAAAAACTTTAGGGACCCTTGAAGGGTTCCATATGTCATGTTTTGAGAACTGCTGCTTTAAGTACCAGATTCTTTCACGGCGAAACAGTGGTCAGGTGGGGTATATCATTGGTACCAATTCAAGTGATACATCATTTGACCAATTACAATATTGTCACTGTAAAGATGAAGAAATGGAAGTACATTGAGATTTGTTCCAAGTCACCCAGGTAGCCTATGGCAGGGCCAGAATTAATTCCGAGGCTTCTTTTTGACTTGTGCACAATGAGTATGTCCACCCCTCTCATCTGAATTCCCAAATCCTCTTTTGAGTGTGAATCTGGCTCCTATAGTGTGCCAGGTAGCATGCTAGGTATTGGAGAAGAAAGCAAATGCCATTTTCCTGAGCTTTAGATTTGGTAATATAAAAACACACATTGTGTGAATCAGAGGTTATTTGTGCAATCAGTGCTTAGATAGGTAATACAGGGAGCCTTGGAACGTAGAGGGCGACCATGAGATGTGTGTGTGACAGCCAATGAGCGAGCCAGAATTCTGAACCTGAGCTGTGAAGGAGGAGCAAAGAGAGTGAGGGAGTGAGAACATTCCGGGTGGAGAATGGCCTGCTCCAGACTGGGAGGAAAGAAGTGTGAAGATCTGGTGGAATGGAGGTGCAGGGGAGATGGCCAGGGGGCGGTGAGGAGGGCTAGGTCATGGAGGGCTAGAGATGCCCAGCTAAGGATCTGGACTATCAAGGAAGCATGAGGAACTGGGGAAAGGCCAGCCAAGAGGGCAGGCTAGTGCTTTCTCTAACTCTTAGGTCACAACCCTTCAAGTCTCTAGGCACTGGTGTCACATAGCTACAGGCAAGTTCGTTGTATTAATTCCTCACCTATAGTAAGAGAGCTCTTAAAGGAACAATTTCTCATCACTTAAATGGATCCTACTTCCTTGGCCTGAAATTTGTTACAGAGTGCTTTGCATTTTTCCTGTGGGCCTTGTGACTCCCTGTGAACTTGGAAGAACCATTACATCATCAATTTAATAAGATGGAATAATGCAAGATCTATCATTCATAATTTGTTCCCTCGCTAGATTGAATCTAGAAAAGGTTTCCAAGCAGTGGCTTCCAAACCTGGAGAGTCAGGAGGTCCATGGTTAAAACCTCAGAGTTCCATACATGGCCTCTGAGAGCTCAGGAATCTCTAGGCCTGCTCTACACCACAAGTTATTCTGATTCATATGACCTGGCTCTTGTGCCCTGCCCAGATATTTTGGGTATCACTAGTTGGAACTAACTCAAGAGGAGCACACATTTAATGCCTTGCTGATCCTAGGCATGGATCCCGTAGTCTCTTGCATGTGTGGATCTGAGTACCTAAGTGGCTGACATCTGCCCTGCTGTATGAAATTGTGCTTGTTTGTGTGAATTGGAAACACTGAACTCTTCATGTCTCACATTTACTGTTTTCCAACTCCCAAAGATTTTAAAATGTTTTCTGATAGTCATTTTTCTCTCCTTCTCTTCTTAGCAGAATCTTTGCTATCTCATTGGAAAATGTCAGTTGGTTTATTTTTTCACATAAATTTGTGGTGAGCATATTGTTTTACTGAAGCAGTTTTGGAGAATTATACAGGCATGTGCATTGATTGTAGGAGTTGTTATATATAAGATCATGAAAATCAGTAAATGAGGCTGGACATCTCAGCATGATGCCTTCTGAGCATGTCTGGCATCCCAGTAATGTGCAACAGCTATATAAATCCAAATAAATATTCAACATCAAAGTAGTATCAGTTCAGTATGCAGAAGAAAAGAGACTGCTCAACCTAGATGGGAGTGAATGGGTGGTTGAGTGGTTCCCTCTGAGAGCTGAGGAGAGCCACAAAGTTTGTTACTTTCCCAAGAGTCCCAAGCCTTCACATTATCCTTTCTGGAGTCTTCACAACAAATTATGACAGTGTATCAAGTTTAAATTGGGGTCTTTCTCAGTATGTCTCCATTTTGCTTTTAGGCACATAAGAAAGGCACGTTTCACAATGGTCCACAGGCTCCTGAAGAGCAAGTAACCCCAACATGGCACAGAGCATCTCACTTAAAGGGAGCAATGGTGGTTTATAACACTCCTGGTCATAAACCACCTAGGCTGTTCTGGGCTCCACATCCGACTTCTCTGAACTACTGTGTCTGCTAAAGCTTAGAAACCACTGGACCCAAACTGGAAATTTAACAATGGGGGGGAAATTCAGAGGCCATGCAACCCAGTGACCCTCAACTGTTGGCAATGGGGCTGTAGTCTGTGTGACAGTGACACACCAATGTGTGTGTCAAGCACAGTGCCACTTCCTAGAGTTTCAAAGATAAAAATAAGTCACAGTGCCCACCCTCAAGGAACTTAGTATAGGGAGGGAGACTGATAATACGTTTCTCTTTTCTTTTTGTGATATTGGAGATTGAAATCAGAACTTCTACTCTGAACTACATCTCCAGCTGGTGTTTGGTTTTGTTTTGAGACTGGGTCTCATAAGTCATTAAGTTGCTTGGGCTAGGCATGAACTTGTGATCCTCCTGCCTCAGCTTCCTAGAGTGTTGGAATTACAGGTGTGAGCCAGTTGCCCAGCTGGGACTAATAATCTTGATATAAATAAGAGAATACAGAGCCTATTCAGAGTACTCGACCAGGGAAAGCTCCTGGTAGGAACTGAAACCCAAACACTCCAATGTCTCATGTTCCTTATGAATAGAAGTAGATTGCTTCTACTATATCTTACTGGGTCAGTGGGTATATTGCTGGGACCAAGTTCTAGTTGCTGGGTATTCATTGCACCTTAATTTATCTTCCAGAGTTTCTGCAGAAGTACAAGATGAATTCATGACCTACACAGTATATGATGATACTATCACCATGAGGCTCATACAAGAGGCCTCCAAGGTGCTGGGTAAGTATAAAGGGCTTGTTTTGGTTTTCTTAAGGCTGCTGTAACAAAGTGCAATTGATTCTCTTTATTCATAGTAGTTATGTTCTATGAAGTGGCTACAAATGCTAAGTTAGTGAATACTGAATTACTGTTCTCTAGGAAAATGCAGGGCTAGGCTTCTGAGAGTCTCTTGCTACATTTTTGTCAACTGGTTAATGCATAATCGTGGTTTATATCTTCTTCTGCTCCTGTGTAAAATATATATATATATATTTTTTACATATATATATATATATTTTACATATATATATATTTTACACACACATATGTGGCAGAGGATTTGGTTCAATGAATGGTTCTGCTGCCTGCCTCACAAGTGCAAGGGCCTGAGTTCAATCCCTGGTACACATACACAAAAAAGAATGTATATATTTGACTCACTAAGATTGAACTCATAGTCAATAGCACTATAACTCATATCTGAAAGATGCTAAGCTATTTCCTCTATAAGGAACATAATAATTCTTATGCTTAGGGAAACTAGACAAAACTTTGATGCTAAAATGATTTGGGGGTCATTTTAACCAGGAATATTATCAACAAAAAAGTATAAAAAGTACAATTATAGGCTGCAGCAAGAATACTTGTTTATAGTGTGAGAACTGAAATAAAAACATAGAACATCACCGTGTTTGACCTTAGTTTAGAAACATTTGCTTTGGATAATGTAAGTTTTTCACCATATCTATCAATGACTTTGGTGGCTCTATCACTGTTGATGTTAGAACTATCAGTACATTTCAGCAGGCAGAGGATTTTGCAATTATAGAATCCTCAAATAATGAGAATCCACTGACCATATCACAAACAGAATAGCTCAAAACAATAGAAATGTGTTCTTATAGTTCAGGGTCAGAAATTCAAAACCAAGTTGCTGGCAAGGCCATACTCTTTGAAGGTATTAGGGGGAAATCCTTGCCTAGCCCAACATTTGGGAGTCCCCAGGAAACCATGGCTGTGGCAGCCAACTTCATCTTCAGGTGGCTCCTTCTTGTGTGTCTATCTCTGGATCTAAATTCTCTTCTCATAAGCACACCACCAAACATATTGGTTTAGGATCCTCTCCAAATGACCTTTTATTAAGTAACCATATCTGCAAAGTCCCAATTTCTTTTTTTGAGGCTGGGTCTCCCATTGTAGTTCAGGCTGGCCTTGATCTCACTATGTAACCCAGGCTGGCCTTGAACTCACTACAATCCTCCTGCCTCAGCCCCCTGAGGGTTGGGATTACAGGCATGTGTCACCACACCCAGCTCCAATTTCTAAATAAGGTCACATACACAGGTACCTAGTGGATGTGAATTGTGGGGGACACTAGCACAGTCCAGGGTTCACGTTTCTATTTTATCCTTTCTATTTGGGTGGCCTTAGATTTCTTGCACATCTAAACTATGACCATCACTTTGAGTTTCCTATCTCCACCACCAATATCATGTTTGGACTTGATGTTGGCTTTGACAGGTACATTGTGATATCTGTAAAATATTTCACTATCATTAGGTCTGGGTGTCTGGAAGAACAATGTCCAGAGTTCCCTCGTGCCACATTTGTATTAATCTTAAAATGGGCCTAATGTGCTGGGCAGAACACCAAGGGCCTTTCTCCTGCCTCTGCTCTACCATATTTTGTTCGTCCATTTGCCTGGACATGAAAATGCCACTCTTAGGGTCATAATGGAGAACGCACAGTCCTGTGTACAGTGCACTTGCTCCCCCAGGATGATTTCTCCCATGGCTGTATCAGCGAGACATTGTTTCTTTTGTCAACCTGCTCACGTTTCAGGTTCTCGGGGGAAAAAGGTACAGGACAAAAGAGAATTTTAGCTTTGCCTCTTTCTCCTTCAATAACCCAAGCTGAGATCACAGTTTCCTCATTGTTCAAGCAAAAATAGTAATATCTACCCTTCAGAGTTGTTTTGAGGACTAAGTGAGCTAATGTATGTGAAAATATCTTGATGTAGTATCTGGCACATATCAGACTATTGAAAAGTATTTCCTTCTTTCCTTTCCCCTGCCCACTCCTCACCCACAGGGCCCTGTGAGAGTGTGAGGTGGCATCTGAGGATTATCACAGACAGACGCTGCCTCAGAGTCCACACCTGACACCTGACAGCCTGAGATGTTGGAAGGGTCTGGTAAGGTCCTATCGCTCAGGACCTTCTAGCTGCTGCCTGTGCAGTGTCAGGCAGCAGGGGCTGTACTTCTGAGCTCATTTTTATAATGCCTCTGGAGCCCAGCAAATGAGCTACCATCCTCAGGAGCAATTTGTGAGGTGGTTACAAGTTATAGCCACCCCCAGGCACTTCAGTAACCAGGCTGCAGGTGCTAATGCTGAGCCCACAGGGGCAGGTGGCTTCTCAAATGAAGTAGTGAGGAGTAATGTGCTTCTGTGGGGTGAGGCATTGAACTTTCTTCCCAAGTCTCTGAATTTCAGAAAGATTCTGCTTTAAAAGATCAGAACAACTTGGATCACACGTACCTGGATCCGATAGAATGGAGGGCTTTTCCCTTGATTTTCATATGGCAATTTGATACCTGGGTCTCTTCTCATGTTCATAGTCATCTCCTGGATGCAGAGATCTTCCAAGGAAAGGTCTCTGCCAAGCCAGGAGGAGAAAGTCATTGAGACTTAGGCAGCTTGGTGCACGTGACAATCAGAGTTCTCTCCAAAAAGATGTGGTCATCTGCTTCCCCTGCCAACTCTGCACCAACTGCTTCCCTGGCTCGCCAGGCTGCTCTGGTCTGTTAGAACTACAGAGCCACACATGGATCAGAGGTGCCGCTGAGACCTGGCAGGATGATGGTGATTGGAGGTAGGAGGAGATTAGCACCAACTAGTCATTAAAATAACTTCCAAACAGATACATGGTAGCCCCTGGTGACTTGCTACCTGCACTTTCTGACAGAACTACATAGGAAATACAGCTTAGCACGAGACTGGAAATACAGCACAGGAGTGAAAAGGGTATTTGCTCCTTCATTTCCCCAAATTTAGACTCCAAGAGCAGCACCATTTCTGGGACCCTTCTACTGTTGGCATGTGGTGTCCTTCTAGTGCTAAACTCAAGCAGCCTTTCAGTGATCCCTGCTGACATCCAGTGCCCCCACCAAAAATCTTACAGCAAGATGTTAAGAAAAGCTGGTCCATAAACTGCAGAGTACCTGTGGCCTGCAACCCCACCCCATTCCTGCCCAGCCTGGATAATTTTGGTGGGGATGTCACCCAGACCCCTTGGCTTCCCCTACAGCTGACAGTAAGATAGGCTTGGGTGGGGATGGTGGTGTCTGGCTTTCTAAGGTGGTGCCCTCTAGGGCATTGCACTTGCTCTGCTGGGCTGAGAGCTGGGGACCTGGGTTCTGGCCTCCTCTAATGATTTCCTCAGCACCCTTTTTTTCAACAAGTAGGGGAGCTGCACCTCTCACCTCCTTGTTTGATACAGTTTCCAAAGAGAGGTTCTGCTTTATTTTCTTAAACAATGCTTTCTTTTCAAAAACATGACTGTGATGCTAAATATGCTTTTCAAACCACAAATCCTAATACATATCACCCTGGCTGGGGAAGGCCCCTACACTGCCTCTCACCCCCCACGACTATGCAGTTCTGTGACCCTGAGTGAGTGCTGGTAGCCCACAAGCAAGTCTGAATGTTTAAAATTGCATCCTGACTTCTAGGTAAGCAGAAGGAACATCATTTATTCTCTCCACAGAAAAAATATCATAGGAGATTTCTGTAACAGAAGATGACTATATTAGACCCAAAAAGCTGGAGTTTAACAGAGGTTAGAATATAAAAGGGCAAAGAAGCTGAGATAAATGGTGAAGTTAAATTTTTTTATTGTTTTATTGCAGGGATCCCAGTAGCAGAAAGAGGTAGTGGCTGTGTCATGCACACATGGTTTGGTTCTTAGCCCTCTGCCAAGGGGCATCTTGTTTGTCTAGAATAAGCAGGAAAAGTTGGATTCTGCTCTGTCATACTAGCTGTGTGACCTTGGGCTGTGACAGTTGCTCTCTTTCTCCGGCAGGAATAATACTTCAAATGGCTGTGGGAAGGAATGAAGTAAATCAGATAACAAATGTAAGGTGCACATAAGGTGTGGGGCATTTAGTGGGTGTTCAGCAAATGAGAACTGAATGTTGAATCTGAAAGGAAGACAGGGTCTATTTCTATGTACCTTTGAATGCTATCTTCTAAAAGTGGAGAAAGGCTATGCTGTTCACTTCAAACTGCTATGGTAAAAAATAAAATTCTGAGCCCTATGATCAGTTCCAACAGCCTATGGGCCAAATCTGGGGCCCCTCCTGTTTTTGTAAATAAAGTTTTATTGCAGAAAAAATTTGTTATTTCATATTCTAGAGAATGTATCTTTCAATAGATTTTAAAAAAACATTTAAAAATCAATTTTTATTTAAGAACTGCTATGGATTGGATTATATCCCCACAAAATTCGTAGGTTGAGGCCTTAACTTCCAAAATGCTGCTATCTGAAGATGAGGTTTTGGGGGAGTGGTGGTTCCTGTGATGAGATTAGTGCCCTTTTATAAAGAGACACCAGAGATGCTTGCCCTTTCTCTTTCCTGTCGGGTGAGAATATAACAAGCATCCAGGAAGACAGCCTTCACAGAAAGCAGCTATGTCTGCCTCTTGGTCTGGGACTTCTAGCCTTCAGAAATCTGAGAAAATAAATGTTCATTTTTGAAAGCCACCTAGTATTTGGTGTTTTGCTTTGCGGGCTCTAGTGGACTAATACAAGAGCTCTGATACATTTTTAGATCTCCAGCAAAGCTTAGCGTGTCTAAAATCACCCTACTCTCTTTTTGTAACTGTGCTTGTAAGCACTGTGTGGCATGTCAGTATTGTTGACAGAAGGATGCATCTCATACCCGCTAAAGTCATACGTATTTCCAACCTACCAGCTCACATAGAGGCAGCAAGTCGATGGACCTGTGTGTGTGCTCAGCCAC